GAAAAGTGACATGAACTACACGAAAATAAGTTATGTGATTACATGTACATGTGAACATGCCTATGCCATATAAGTGATATAAACTATCATAAATGATCATGCCCATGTTATGTGATATGAGAGCTAGGGGTATAGTTGGCATGCCAAGAGTCGAGGGCTCTACGCAGTCCTTCGGAACATATATGTGGTCCTTCGGGACAATTTTATATGCCCCTAGCGAGACTTTATACGAGCTGTGGTGACAATATATGTGCACAACCTCTATGTACTCACATATCTTTAGTTCTCAAAAGTGTACATGGGCTATTGAAAGACATAGTATAAATAAAGTGTATGTGATGTTATGTATGTTTCTTGGTGCAATGTATTATAAGCTTTGTATAAATGATAAGTATAACATTATATGATGAATGAGATTAATGATAATGATAAGATTATTGATAATGATAATATATGTGTATGTATGAATTTTGTTATATGTAATATTATATGAGTGGTATGATATGATGATATGAAATGTTTTGTATTGTTAACTATTTAAGTTTCCATTATATGTTTTATTATGTCTCACTAAGTCAATGACTTAGCGTGTGAGTGTTTCACACGTAGGTTCTGAGGAGATGAAAAGGGATCGAAGACAGGCATGATAGGTCAGCTTCTTCTTTCCAAATAACAGTTCAGAAAAAAAACTTGAATCGTATGTATTTTATAATATTTATTTTAGTTGGCATGTAAATAAAGATTTAGTAGAATACGCTCTGATAAGTTTTGTAAAACTATACAATTGTATTTAATATAAATTATTCAGTTTTCAATGTAAACTTGCATTGACAGCTATTTTATAAAAGAAAATGGTTTGAAAAGTAATGTGACACCTCAGATTCGTATTCGGGTCGAATACGGGTTGGAGGTGTTACATAAATTGTAACTACAAGATTAGAAAAGTTTAAATTCTAAGATACTCTTAATTATTATAAAAAATAATATTGAAATTACTCTCTAAACAATTAATTAATCATTATTATCTATCCTCTGATAAAATTGTGACATTGAAGATTCGATTAAAAATAATTATTTTTATAGAATATCCGTATGTAGGATAAAATTTAATATATTTTTTTAAATATGGATAAATATATGATAGCATATTGTAATTGATGTTTCCAAATCCAAATATTAGTATCCACCATTATTGCTACTAACTGAGTGTTGTTTTTGAATATATATATATAGAAATGTAGGATAGTTAGGTTTGGAAGGCCAAATTGATGTGATCTGAGTTGCAGTTTCAAAGATGTGAAAGAGATTGGCAAAGTAAAAGGAAGTAAGAATTAAGACTTCATAAGGGAAAGAGAACTGTAGTGTTTGCTACGTATTATTTTTTCTTTCTCACTTTCCTTTGCTTGTCTTGTACGTAAAGAAGGATGTAAATCCTCCAACCCTTACAGGCCACGTGGATTTCCAATGTTACCCCAGTCTACGTTTTATAGTATTCCTAATTCCTTCTCCTCAATGCTTGTGAAATCATCTTGAAGGCCGTAATTCTTGATCGAAATGAGTGTTGCTCTGATTTTTGGAGAAGGGTGTCCTTTCGTCAGTTCACAGTTTCTGGAAATGGAAAGGACACTGTGCATATGATTATTAAAGAGACGTGGAAACTAAAGCCATGGCAGACGGGAGTCGAGAGCCGACAGCGTTGAGGGGGAGAGTGAGAGCGTGGAGGTGTGGGTGGCTCTTTAGCGGCAACACGTGGTGGAGGTTGTCATGCCAACGTGGCTAGCGTGTCAGAACAATATACATATTAAATCTTTCACAGATAAAATAGGGGATAAATAACCCATTTAGTATTTAAACTATCAGTGTTGATCCGTTTTAGTACCTAAATTTTCAGTTTTTTAAAAACATACTTAAAGTTTACTTTTTGTTTCATTTTAATACCCCATTGTTAAAAACTTAACGCGTTTAATACATAAACTATCAATTTTTTTAGTACCTAAATTTTTTAAGTATGATTTAGGTACTAAACATTTTTTGGTATCTAGACTTTCATTTTTTTCAAAACTTAATAGCGTTGTACTAAAATAAAATAAAAACTAAATTGTATGTATGGTTTTGAAAAAATTAAAAGTTTAAATACCAAAACGAACCAAAACTAATAATTTAGGTAATAGATTGTAGTTTACCCTAAAATTTATTAGAACAATATTAAAAATCCAAATTTTAATATTTATATAAATTGAATTAGAATGATTATCCTCGTATTAGACCTATGTAATATTTGATCTAAAGTAATATTATTTATTACTCACAATTAAAAATGTATTAGTATATAAATTAATAATTAATTACTTATACTTTATAACTTTTAGTTATTTAAGTAGTTTAAATTAGATAAACTAAAGCAATAAATATTGCCTATTTTTAATACCTATCACTTACTTAATTTTTTATTCATATTTCTAATCTCAAGTATAGATTTGTATAAATTCTTCTTTATATTTTGATGAACTAATTTTGGATTAATGTAAAACTCATACGATAATTTTCCCCCTTAGGCTATTACTTGTGTACGAAACGAACATAAGTTTTGAGGTTAAAAACGAATATATTTTTTCAAATAAAATTAAATATTGTTGATAATTTAATATTTTTCACCTTTATTTTTGTAAAAGTTATAATAATTTGACTTTTTTAAAATATTGAGGATTTAATATGATATTTTTATAATATTGATGGTTAAAATTGATTAAAAAATAAAAATTAAGTTGACAAAAATGTAAATATTTAAGAGTATATTTATCATAACATCAAAACAACTTTATATTTAAAATTTTAATATTTTATAAATTGGTGAGTTAATTGTACTATACATTCTTAAACTATGACATTTAATTTAAATCAACCTATAAACTTTTGGATATTTTAATTTCATCTCAAGTTATGACTCTTATTTAGAATTCATTCTCATATTTTTAAATGTTCCAAACTCATCTTCGAACTTTTAAATGATTTTAGTGGATATTATTAAAACATTAAAAAGTTTGGAGATCAATATAGAATGAGGATCATATTTTAGAGATGAATTTGAAATGTTCAAAGGTTACAAGATGAATATAGAACGAGAGTTATAGTTTAAAGATAAAACTGAAATATTTAAAAATTTAAAAACTATTTCTAAATAAATATCATAATTTGAGAATGTATGGTATAATTAATTTTAAATTAATCTGAGTTTGAAATGATATATTGGCTTGGAGATAGGATCTTGTTATAAAACTTTTTTAATTTTATACATATTTAGAACTATTGAATGAGTGAAAATAAATGACTGAAACTAACAGAAAAAATGAAAATATATGAAAATATATTCGCGGTACAAGAAAAAAATAAAAGATTAATTTGAATAATTTATTTTCACCCATGAAATAATCTTAAATTTATGTTAAACTAAAGAGTTTATAAGTAGTATAATTATATGTTAACACAAGGCAAACATGTTAAGATGAATAAAGAAAAGTATAATGAAAGGTAGAGAAGAGACGAAAACGTAAGCAACTGGGGACGGCAATCACCCATGCGCAATCGAATCCAGCGGTCCTCCCCACTCTCCCTTTCCTTTTATATTTACTCTTCATCTCCTTCTCTCTTCTGTCTTTCCATTCTTTTTTTATCTTCTTCTTCATTTCTAACTCCACCATTACCTAGTTTCAGGTAAGCTTTTGCATTTTCGTCGGGGGAAATAACTATCTTTTCTTTTAAAGCTTCTCTATTCTAAAACATAAAACAATCGAGAATATGACTGCAATATTCGTAATTTAAGTTCTAACTGTGAAATGTAAGCTTCTCTTTAAATTCTATTTTTTTTTATATTTGGTTTGGTCAAAAGAAGCCACCTTATTATTACATGGAAGACTAAGATTTGGTGAAGTGTTTGTTGAAATTTTTTATTAGTTTTTGGTCATTTGAACATTCTAACACAAACCCACCAACCACTTGTATAAAATCATTCTGCTGAACTTTCCTTTTCCGTGGAAATGGAAGTCTTTCTAGTAAATCTTGCTGAGAGAATAAATTAATTGAAGCCCAGATTTGGAACCATCTGTTTCCATTTGAGAATTGGAGGCAAAGCCATATTTTTTTTCATTTTCGGTAAGCTTTGCATCATTTCTGTTCTTCATTTTGCTCTCATAATCAGTGTATATGAAAGAAGAAAAGGTACATCCGTCCTGCTATGGACATTCTCGACAAAGAGACAAAGTTACAGCAAGTGTCCTCATCAACACTGCTTTTCTCTTTATAGTTTTGATGTTCTTGCTCTTTTTCAGACCATGATCCAATGGAAACGGTTGCCCTCTTTTTGTCTCCACAAACCTTCCTTTTTTTCACTTTCGAGCAAACAGCATGCTTATTTCTGATAACATCATTCACGTTGTTCAATATCTGTTTACTCAAGATCCCGAACTCAAATGTGTTTATTCTAACATTCTTTGATTAATTTTAAGAAAAAGTAATTTCCGTTTGTTTCAACCCTTTTAGTAAACCTTTTTGTAGATTAGCTTGAATTCTAGAAACACTTTTTTGTTTTGTAAATAGAAACCCCGTTGTCGATGCATCATTTCCACCATTCACCAACACAAGACAGCATCATTAGCTCAAACCTCTAGCTGTCCCGTTTCCCCTTGAGAGAGAGAGAGAGAGCTATGTTCCAACTTCTCTCATAATTCCATTTTTTTCCTTTTCACCTCTTCCCTTAATAAAATATCATTGTCTTAAGAAATAATGGGTTTTGTTTTTACAAGACATGGTAATTTTAATTTCATTTTGGAGATAAACATGGTGATGAGTGTCGCTCAGCTAGCCTAGCTGATCATTATGATAACACTTGTCACCTTTATAATTGTAGAGTTGTTCATTTATTGCTTATGATTTGGAGATGATATAAATAAAAAGAGAAGTACAGTGATAGTCTACTAATATAGTCCTGTGTGTTGAGTTTGATGCAGCCAGCAACAAGTATAATGGAGTCATGTGTCCCACCCGGATTCCGGTTCCACCCTACCGACGAGGAACTTGTTGGGTATTATCTGAGGAAGAAGGTCGCATCGCAGAAGATTGATCTTGACGTCATCAGAAACATTGATCTTTACAGGATCGAACCATGGGATCTTCAAGGTTTTCATTCTTCTTTTCTTTCTTTGCACTCGTTTTTAGGGTTTAAATTAACATATTTTGCCAAGTCTGCGATCTGGGTTAAGATCCACAGTTAGAGTTTCACAGTTACATGAAAACTTAATAACCCTAGACGTACACTGATGCAGATGGTATATATTGATTTAACATAATCCAAATATCTTTGTTTTGATTACGTACTTGCTTACTGTCAAGATCTGAATAATGGTTATGATGGTGATGATGGTATAGAGAGATGCCGGATCGGATACGAGGAGCAAAGCGAGTGGTATTTCTTCAGCCACAAGGATAAGAAGTATCCAACTGGGACAAGGACTAATAGAGCAACCATGGCTGGTTTTTGGAAAGCAACAGGGAGAGACAAGGCAGTGTATGATAAATCGAAGCTGATTGGCATGAGGAAGACTCTTGTTTTCTACAAGGGTAGGGCTCCTAATGGCCAGAAAACTGACTGGATCATGCATGAATACAGGCTTGAATCCTACCAAAATGGACCTCCACAGGCAAGCGTATATTATATAATAATAATAATAATAATTTGAAAATTTCAAAGGGGATTGTCCCCTCGATCCATCCGTGATCATGGTCTTTCAACATTGAGAGTGGCTTTGGAAAAGCTCACTTAACCAAGTATTCAACTATTGTTGATTTGAAACATTCTTTTTCAAATATGTGGCAAAAGAAAGGGTTAGACATCCATTAATTACTACCAGCCATGGATTTTCGTTACTTATAAGAGGAAAGGAATCACTTTTCCTTTCCTTTCCATACTAAGACCATTTACTGAAATGTCAACGTAACATGATTTCTCTATGTCAAAAAAGTGATCAATATAATTTTTCATAGCTCCTACTTCCTTTTCTGGCATGGGTTCCTTTCTTTTTATCTTAATTCATCAGTTTATCACAAGAAAAATTCAAGTTCTCCTCCATAGTTTTCATATGCCATCATCTCTGGTCACAGAGCTCAATTTACCAACTTTTTGAAGCTGATGTATAAAAGTTCTTCTAAATCTTTTGTAGGAGGAAGGCTGGGTTGTTTGTCGAGCATTTAAGAAGAAAACAACTGGTAAAACCAAGAACATTGAAGTGTGGGATTCAAGCTATGATGAAGCTAGTGGTATTAGCTCAGTGGTTGATCCACTCGAATACATGTCAAGGCAACCCCAGAGTTTTTTACCTCCAAATTTCTTGTGTAAACAAGAGACCGAGCCAAAAAACTTGAACTTCGCCCACCCTGATCAGTTTGTGCAGCTTCCTCAGCTAGAGAGCCCATCTCTGCCATTAACAAAGAATGCAAGCTCCATATTACTAATATCAGACAATAACACGCATCACAAGGAAGAAGGAAGAAGAACAAAAGCAGAAGACAAAGTGGAACAGTGCCGAGAAAGTGACTGATTGGAGAACCCTCGACAAGTTCGTTGCTTCTCAGCTGAGCCAAGAAGACAGATACCACGACTTTGATGCGGACAATAATAACAACTCAGACATGGCATTGCTGTTGTTACAGGGTAGTGGTAATGAAGAAGGGGACAAATTTAATGAGTTCTTGAATTCGAGTTCAGATTGTGATATCGGAATATGCATATTTAATAAATGAGGCGGAGAAAAGGAGATCATGATACAGTGATTTCTATCAGTTAATTAATATTATAAACGTTTGATGCATAATGAGACGTATTTTTTTGTATATATGTATATATGTTTGTGAAATTAGTGAAGAAATGCTCTCACTTTCTCTTGGAATATTGGATGTAAAGCATATATATATATATATATATATATATATACATACATACATAAAAGGAGGTTCGGGTAAGCTCGTAAGATCGTAGTTCATGCAACTTTGTCTTACAATTATTTTGGTCTAAACTTTGTTTATCCTATGTAGTTTTCACAACTCCATTCTATTATCTTGTATATGTTAGTTCTAATGCATGGAAATTCGTTAATTATATTCAGTTTTTATTTACCTCATTGATGTCAATTTTTTTTAGAATAATCAAATATAGAATGTGTTGTAGTACCTCCTAAAATAGAACTTCAAAAATTATCAAGTATTCGTCAAATGTAACTTATGAAATTTGTGAGCTCTCTATTAGTCGAGGTTTTCAAACAGGTCCCTCCGCTTACTGGATCAATCAAGGAACCTACATCTTCGGAACACAAATCCTCGCATCCAACACAGTACAAAGACAAAATCTCTGACAGATCTACGTGATATACTATAACAAAATCTAATATCTGACGACCAATTCTATTTAGTCTGTTGACATATAAATAATCATAATAATTTTATGTCTGACACCATCATAACTATAAATACCTTTCAACAAGATCGAGAAAAGAAACTAGAACCTCCATGACCTTCATACACTTTTCTTCCTCATCTTATCATCATGACATAATTTCTTTCGTAGAGAAATATTGGTCAACGATCGTTTTATTACTGAGTGTGATTCTCCATCCAAATTTAAAAAAATGAACCATCGAATAACCGACAAGACTAAATTATTTCATAAGTGTAAAACTCCTATTAATGTCATAATATTAAATAAGTAGTAATGCTTAATTTAAAATGAATGATTTAATTGGTCATGCAACGGTAAGCAATGTCTCATCGCATTGTGGGCTGCTGCTGGGTCCATGGCTCCTGATGGCCATGCCTTGCATTGCTCTTACCAACTATTTCCTACCCTTCCCCTAAACCCACAAACAATAGCAACTACACTAATTTTGTTCAAATAATTACTAGATAATTATCTGTTATCATAATAAATAGATAATTAATGAGCTTTTCTCTCTAACTATTAACTGCACAATGTCCTAAAAGGTACATTACATTATTTGTTTGCTTTTCTAAATGTTAGTTTGTCCCAAATTGATTAAAACTCTAAAAACAAGCATTTTTTTGGTTGGAAAAGGAAGACAAAGTCTCTTATTAACCTAATTAAAAGTTTAATTATAATTACCGACAACTAGTTGATCTAGTGGGATGAGACACTAGATTCATAAGCAGGGTTAGGAGTTCGAATCCTGGCATTTGTGAGTGGAACAAATTGGGTTGGGAGGGTCACCCTCGCATCTGCAGTATCGATTCGAATTAATCGATCAATAGATCTGACACCAGTGATTAATTAAATTTTTTAATTATATTTAATTCAAATATATTTTAAAAATAAATACATGAAGTAACATAATTAAATTCGTTTACCCCCTTTTTGAGGTAGAAAATGAATCCCTATGATATAGATGAAAGACGGTTTAAATTGGACCCAACTCAGAGGAAACGTCTCACTCAGTTATGAAACAAGATGTGGACCAATCACGTTCCTCCAAATGAGTGCAATAAACCAATGAGGAACAATCTCAGTGCCCAAACAAAATTTCTATTGTATTATTCTCTCTGATTGGTACACTATTTATCACCATTAACTTTCTCTACAAAACATTGTTACACATGTATCCTTGAGCTTGGTGGGATTGTGGATCTAAGCTTATGGGCCAACCCAGAATTACTCCTTTTATTTATTTTCTTTTCGTTTCTTATATATAGAGAAAGATGAAGAACACATTGGGCTAAACTCTCGAGATAACGTTCTCAAACAAATTATTTCATGAGATAATGCTCTCCCAAGATTAATTGCTCAAATAGGGTGAAATCTACAGTGTTGGCCGTAGGGTCGTCATACCTTCCGGGCGACCTACTACGTGACTAGCCATGCACGTCCCCAAGACCTTATAGGTCGCCATGCACTCCTGGCGACCTTGTAGGTTGCCATGCACTCCCTCCTGCTCCTTGCGTGATTCCTCTTGCCATCGGATGCCCTCGCATAGCTCGCTCGGATAACCTCGGTCGGATGCCCTCGGTTGGATGGCCTCGGATGCCCAGCGTGTTGGAATGTGCATGGCACACGTAATCTCTCTCATAGCTCACCGGGAAGACATGACGACCTAATAGATGGCATGGCGACCTATGGCCAACACTGTAGATTTCACCTTATTTGAGCAATTAATCTTGGGAGAGCATTATCTCGTGAAATAATTTGTTCGAGAACGTTATCTCGAGAGTTTAACCAGAACATGGATAACAATGAGTGCAATGGTTGAACAAAACAAAAGCTTCTTTTGGAGAACAATGATGCTCAATCATAGCACCCAACCAAGTCTATCGTACCCCATTTTTATCTACCTTCTTTTTTCATGCAAAAGACGAGGTAGAAAACCTACGAAGAAATTTGAATAGATAAGGCGATAGTCAAAAATTATAAATTGTTGATGAAATAAATTAATCGTTTTTAACGGTTTATTTCTTTTGATTTCGATAGAAGATTATAATAAGTAGAAGAACGACCCATTTCGGCCCACTCTCCGTTATGTAGGATCCAAAGGAGTCCCGATTCTTGTAAAAAAATTATATATTCGATAGATTTTGGTTTAATAATATTTTGGTTTATGTAAAAAATAAGTATTCAATTAAAAAAAGACAAGACTTTATTAAATATTTAATCAAATAAGAGCCGAATTAAAGAAGAATAATATAAATGTTTTCAAATTTTTTTGTATAATAATAATTTAAATCATTGTAAGTTTATATATTAGACAAAATAAATATTTTCTTCTGAATTTTGAATTTAAATATATAATAAATTATTGTATTATTCTTAAAAAGTTCAATGTCTCTAGTAATATTTAATCCTGACTCCGTTATTATCAGGATGTAAACCGTATCAACATCGTGAACCTGGAGTCTGTAGCCCAGTAATTCATATTCCCCTAGAAAACTTGGATTCTTCTCTGTGCATGTGAGGACATTCCCATGCAGACTGCATTTATAGCTTCATTATTCCAACAGGCAACAGTATTGTCTCCCGAATCAACCGTCTTATTCTTCTAAGCAGAAACCACCGTCGACTCCGACAGGCTTTCACCCACCTCTGAACCAGCTTTCCGATCTGCCTTCTTGTCTAATCCTAAATTCTGAGAACCAGCCACAACTTTCATCAAGTTTAATTCATATACACGAACACCATATATCTCCTTGCCTACTTCAATTTCGATTATATCCTCGATTCTCTTCAACTGGTTTGTTGAAAGTAGAAAGGACAACTTCTCGCAACCTTCTGCCTGGTTCACATTCTCGCCTAACGCCACTAAGGTACCACAGGATTCAGCAATTCTTTCAAATGTTGTGTGTCCAGCCATAGTACTCAACGTAGCATAACATCCGTAACGTTTTCGAAGGTTACCTTGACTCAATATCGGCGCAACGCGATAAGGGAACTGCATCACGATTGTTGCGGTCAAAAACCGTTACGTAACACCACAATACGCTATAATTTGTCCCGCAAGCAACAAACTTTAAATTATATGAAATATAAAATTACATAGATGAATTGCTCTAATTTAATTCTTAAAATTATATTATAAATATATATAATTAATAATATCGTAATAGTTATGTTTAAAATTAGTTACTTAAATTTGAATTAATTAAATTATTTATTATCTTTATTTTAAAATTAAATTAATTTAAATTTAAATTGATTTTTTCTCATTTCTAAAATTAACGTGATTAATTTTAAATTAAATTTTTATATTAACATTAAGTATCATAATTATATGTTTATTTATTATTATATAAATTTTGTATAAGAGAGGAATTCACTTTACAAAACTATAACAATATATGTATTTTATATATTTACTATGAAACTATAAAATTTTATCTAATCTATTTACTATAAAATTTTATCATACAACATGTTTCCTATCAATGATGCACATAATGTGAAGTTTTCTTCATATGCAATAGGAAAAAATCAAAACCAAGACATTGACGAAGATGAAAAATGCTTTAGATCACCACACCATTCATTTTGGTGGTGAATTGTAATATATAAAATTTTTATATTTGTAGTTATGTATTTTTTTATAAGTTATGTAAAAATGAACATTTATATGTTATAATATAAAAAATTGATATGATTTTAGTGACATTGTTTATATGTTATTCATTAACATTATAATTGTTATTACCCATTATCTAGTATGATAGCATTTTTATGATTTATATTTGTTTTTAATAAATTTTTATCTATGAAATTAAATTTTTATTTTCAAAATAAAATATTAAAAGAGTATATTAATATTAGTATATTAAAAGATAATTGTAAAATGTATAAATATAATACTTTAGATGTATTGTGATTTTTGAGGAAGAGATCACGCCTGCTACAGTCGCAACATGTTACGTAACGTTCGTAACATCCGTAACCACGAGATCGCAACCGTATCTACAACAAAATCCGCAACCACAATTTGATACTACGGTTCCAGTTCCAGCAGTGTTGTGGAATTTCAAACAACCTCCACCCAATTAGTTCTTTCAGGGTACCTTAAAGGATTCCGAATAATAACTGACCTCGAAAACTTCTTTCGACAGAGACCAATATTGTTCCTTGAGAAGCTTTTGAAGTTCTTCGTCGTTTATGTCGATTAGAATCCTTCGACCTCCCAAACAATCGATTTCAAATCCTCCGAGCCCCCAGTTATGGAGTTTCTTCTTCACATCTTCAGTGCTGCAATCAGTTGCCATAG